TAATATCGCATGTTTATTTACATGTTTAACAAAAACATTTCGTCCTCTATTGTATTTCACTATTTTACGTTGAACATCAAATCAGACTTCAAGCTGTGTTCGAAGTTCCACATTGTTATTCGTGCAATTTCAAATCAAGTTACTTGAAGACTTTAGCCATGGTTTTCTCAACCAAAAAGCGTTTATTTACTGTAAATAAATGCCTTAATGCTCTTCTTGATTAAAATTAACTGTGTAACGTTCATCGATGAAAGAAACCGAATATGGACTTCATTCCAATTTGGCAGCTGTTTTTCGCTAAAATCAACACACTTAAAATCAACATAATTCTCAAGAAACCTTAAAAATTATTGAGGTGTTACAATGAAATGTTCCGTAATGTTCTCTTAACGGGAAATTACTCATGAATGCTTAGACGTGGTCGGGATATTAGCCTTTTTCGAGCGATGTGTATTTTTCTCGAAAAAGGAAGTTATGAATACCAAAATCATCATAAAGGCAAGTGTCTTGCTGCGACAACGAATGACTACTCTATAAATATTTCACAACTGGTTGAAAAGAGAACTGTCCAGAGCTAACACTGCTAACTTTTCATTTTGCCATTGCACGTACTGGCATAGAGGCAATTTCACAAAACGAAGAGAAATGAAGTTCTCAACAATGAAATTATCGGTACTGCTTTTATCTTTAAATCTGACGTGTATCTATGCTGCATTCCAGCAAGGTCAGTAAAGTGGCATAAACACTACGGAAGGATTTAATTTCTTTTTCGAAACTACTCATCACAAATCTTGTTCGACTTCGCTGATCAGACCATTTGCCGGCTCAAAATCAGGCTGCCTAACGTTCCATCTTAAACGGTGTTCTAAAACGACCTTTCAATTTTTACTTTTTTATGAGCCGGATTAAAAATGATAAAAAAAAAAATGTGTCCTTGAAAAAAATTGCAACAAAGTTACAATCGCTTTTGAATTTAAAGACTTTCAAAAATAGTTCATTTGTTTGTAGACCGTTTCAAATGTAAGAACAGATTTCCTTACCCTATCTTTGAGTTTAACTTCTAAAATTTTTTAGCGGTGTTATATTTATGTGGCATGAAACGTAGGGGGAAAGGGGGCAGGCATGACAATCTCATATTGCCCAAGCTCTCCTCTCCCGCCTTCCCCAACCATGACTCCCTTTTATCGTACTTTATTGCGAAATGCAGATTAATAATTCACGATTGTTCATATTTTTGCGTTTCTCCCACGCTTTCCACTCAGTTCCTCACTGCTATGCCCTTCCATCTCCTATTCTCCCAGGCTTCAAATTGTAACCCCCTACCCCATCACTGACAAAGTTTTCCCGTTCAGACAGAAATCTTCTGTATGTGTAAATTTTCTCTGGAACACGAAATGAAGCTGATTCAGAAATCATGATCGCACGATGCCTATATGGAGATACGTTTTTAAAGCCAGGGACGTAGTTTAACGCTATTTCTGTTTAGACTTGTCCACCAGTGGTGGATTGATCTTTAAATTTGCATTTTTTTACTCTTTCTTTTCCACAGTACTTTCTATTTATCAATTCAAAACATAACATTTAGAAAACTTTGATATTCTTCATTCATTGCTTCTTAAAGGTCAACATTTGGAAAATGATATGTAACTCTCATTCCTGTCTGCCTTCGCACAAGAGAGGGAGTTTTAAGATTGATTGTCATTGTAAGCTCTTCGAGACGTTTGCAATCTGTTATTCCATCTTATTTTTTTCTTAGACGAAGATTGTCGACAACTGGAGATGAATCCGACGGTCACGGGCTTCTTTCTAATTGGTCACGTGTTCAAGACCATGGAGACAGAATCAGCCAGTGCCTGCGAAGAGAATTGTTACGCGGAGAATAACTGTATATCATACAATCTAAAACCCCTTCCGGATGGGACATATTTGTGTGAATTGAGTGATTCCGATGATGTTGCTCATCCATTGAATATGAGATACAGAGAAGGAGCTATTTACAAATCATTTAAGATGAGTCGACGTTATTCGAGCTCTGGGGTGTAATTCGAGAAATTTCAAAGGAGAGTCCTGAGAAAATTCAAGGCCCAGTTGTTCAAAGTGCGGATACGCCATCCAGCGGATGAAATGCTATCCAGCGGAAACGTTTTGACAAAAACCCACTATGCCATCCAACGGAAAGCAAGTTATTTAGCGGATAGCTTTGTCCAACCTGGGAACAACTGAGGCCAGACATCGAACCCATACCTAATAGCAACTCTATTGCCTCTTTTCTGAATTAAGGTCCATACCAAATCCACGTGGCTGGACCCATGGATGAAGAGATAAAAGCGAGATTGGAGTACGTGGATGTGAGGATAATAATTCGATGCATTGATACATACGTGGATGCATACGTGATAAATGCATTGATCCCTACATGCATCGGTGGTGAAAGCACAGTTGACAGACGATTGCCTAGATAACCCGTTTAGCGACCCTGCCGGTTTATGGTACCTCAGACTCCGAACTTTCTATAATACAGAATTTTTTGACCGGTGTTTGAAAAGGAATTTTATGTCCAAGAATGTAGATATCAGGGATTTGCTAGAGAAGGCGGACAAGACACTCTACAAAAAAGATCGAGTGACCCCGAATGCCCGTTTTCCCAGTTTTTACCTAAGGAAAAGAACATGAGGTACAATTTTAGAAATAGGTCAGTCTCTGTTCCTAGAATCCACACTGAAAGGTTTAAGAACGTTTTTAGTAATAGGATAATTTTTAAATATGACATGTCATAGTTTCGCTTGTGAGTTTATGTTGTAACTTAGGATATGTGATTTTATCCTAAGAAATAAAGATAATGTTATGTTATGGATGAATGAATGCGTAGATCCAAGTATGAAGATTGCATCTGAGGTTGAGTGTACGGACGCAATACATGCATACAGTTTAAATGCAAAAGCGTTAGATACATTGGTGTCAGTCGTGCATAAATGATTTTTGTATCAAAACCAAACACGCTTTGCGACCGTATCTTAGACCCAACAGTAGTAATTTATGCTTTATCTTACAGAACGTTTGTTTTAAAAGTCCTTGCCCAGTCGCCCAGAGTTGTCAAACTGGCTTTCCCGTAAAGGTTATCGTTGTGTGTGCAGGAATGGGCTGATGGGACAAAACTGTAATCAAGGTAAGTTGATCAACTGATTCGTCTGTTTATTTATTTACAGCAAGTCTCGGCAGAGATTGTTTAGAAGCAAACCGATTAGAACTTTATTAAGGTACTGTACATCTTACGCTGTTGCTGGACAGTGAAAAACACCAGTAATGCCGGTAAAATTGAATAGAGTAAGTCATTTGCATTGAAACAATAGATGATTATTTTAGTTTCCGACTTTGCGATCTTTTTTAAAACATGCTCTTTTTGATTCTAGGACTTCCGTCAGTACAAGTTAGTCTTGAGAGAATCGAAACTGTGGAGGGTAGAAACTTTTCCATGACTTGTAACGCGACTGGTAATCCGTTGCCACATTCAGTTATATAGAGCAAGGATCAAGGACTGCTGCCTATTTCAAGAAGCTTCGTAAATGGAGGAAGTCTAACCCTGTCGAACGTCTCTACACAAGACAGTGGTTCCTATCTGTGTGCTGCCACAAACATTCGGGGCAGCAAATCATCTGCACTTCACCTCCAAGTGTATTCAACTCTCAAATTCACCATCAACCCGTCGTCGAATGCGACAGTGAAGGCCAATGAAAGTCTCACGCTGCCTAGTTCTGCCTTTAGCGACCTGACACCAACGATGTCGTGGGTATTTAATGGCACCTCGTCATTACCCTCAAGCGTGGTTATTGATTCCTCCAATAACTTGACAGTTTCATCTGCTAACTTCACCCATGAGGGTACATACACTTGCCGTGCGTCTAATGCATTCAGCTCAATTCAAACAAATGTCATTATTTATGTCAATTACCCTGAAACCTGCACCAAAGTAAAGGTCAACATCAGCGACGTCAGTGGTGATGACTCCATTGATCCTGACGGTATTCTTGGTGAGAATCCATTTCCTGTTTTCTGTAACATGATTGACAAAGGTGGTGTTGGAGTGACAGTTGTCAGTCATGACAGCGAGAAGAGGACACATGTAGATGGTTTTAAGCCGGTTGGTTCATATTCCCTCGACATCGATTACAACCCCACCAGCATTTCGCAATTGAAGGTTCTAACAGAATTTTCCACCAACTGTCAACAGTTCATCAAATACGAGTGCCTGGACTCTAGAATTAGAAGGAATGAATATGCATGGTGGGTGTCACGTGACGGTGAAGAAATGACCTACTTTGATGGGGCGAGTCCAGTATATGATGGCTGCGCCTGTGGAAAGAACGGCTGGTGTGTTAACCCATCCTGGGTCTGTAACTGCGATGAGAATAAACAGACTTGGCGGATGGACAGCGGTCTTCTAACAAACAAGTCCCATCTTCCCGTCATTCAGTTGAGATTTGGCGATACGGGAAGCTATTATGACCAGGGTTTCCGTCCCGAAGAAGGTTACCACACTTTGGGAAAATTAGAGTGCTATGGAATGAACTGAGCAGTAAACTGTCGTCATGCGGAAACGTAAGGGACGAAAAAATTGCTAATACTTCGCCTACGAGTCGTTCTCGTCAAATTCTCAGATCATTTCGCACACGTCTCAGGTCAGTTGGTTGACGTTTCATAGTTCGTTTAACAAACGTTTCAGGTCATTCACAAACGTCTCGTCTTTGTTTTGTCTTCTTCGGAGAAGTGACAAATAAAATGCTGTACAGTTAACAGACGGTATAACGTTGGATGTTGTCCTTGAGTAGCATTGTGTGATAAAGTCAGAATTATAAATCATATGAAGCCAGGTATGCTACGATCATTTAGTTTTGTGAACTTTCGCCGATCTACAGCATCATCAGGGAGGAGTGTTCTGAACTCAAAGATCCTTAATTCTAACGATAGTATTTACCCTGACTATATTTATTTCCTGCATAGACTTATTTCTACTGCATTTACATACCTGCCACTTTCCTGTCCTATTGTCTGCTGAACATCTACCATCTAGCCTAACACCTCCGCCTGATATACTCTTCACTTCAAAGATTCCATCTACATTTCCTGATGATGCCGTAGATCGGCGAAAGATCGGAAAACTAAATTATCGTATAGCATACCTGGCCTCAATCGACTGACACTTCTGACTTCATACGGTACAACATTAGGGCTTATCGTGCACTGCCTGTTTTATATATGGGAACTCTTCGACTTTACGCTGTACGTGAGGCCTAGGTTGTCCATAAGTTTTCTTTTCCCTCGTCATCTTTTCATACGATCCATTAAGATTCCTGATCACTTCACGTGCACCTCCGCCAATGTCATCTACTGTATAATTTGCACTTATTGCAAAAAGGTATACATTGGCAAAACAAGAAGACGACTAGGTAACCGATTCCGAGAAAACTTTCGCGATGTAGAAAGGAGTGACAATGACGCATCAAAACCAGTCGCTAGACACTTCAATCTTCCTATTCATTCTAATCAGTGTATGGTAGTCTGCGGCCTTTCCTTACCTTAAGGCAGCTCGAAAAGCTGCAAAACTCTTTAACAAAAGTTTGTCTTTCGAATCGGTACTCTTTATTCCATACGTATGAACGATACCTATGGAAGTATTCCACTGATTTATTCTTGTTTTTCTCGTAACCATGTTCCCACCTATAGCGTAGCGTAGCTCCACTTTCTGCATGTAAACACACACAATCCACAATTCCACCATTCCTCCTAACGAAAGGGCCAATGCTCGAAACGTCAGCTTTTAAACCCTTTACGGTGGCCAATTTACAATATCAACTCAGTTGATAAAATCAATTTACGCTGTTACCTTCACCAGCGCAGTACCACAGTTTCTATAGAAACCTACCCCTTTTATCAACTTTCAGTTTGTATTGAAACAACCTAATGCTCCGAAATGCTCCGAGACGTTGGCGAACTGTTCGTTAAAATAACGAAAGTACTCGTACACGAAACGACCGTTTCCCAACGGACGACTGGTATGGACGTTACAACGGTTTTTAACTCTACCAATCACAATTTGGAGTGCATATCAATATAAATTCAAAGAAGGTTTTTTTTCCAATAGATAACTACTGTTTGACGGAGGAATGAATGAGTGATTAATGATAATAATTCTACTTAATTTGCGTAGAAATTGTGGGCGCAGTGTAGATCATCGGGAAAAACAAACACAATATAGTTCAGAATTCTGATTCAAGTTAGCGTCATTTACTTAACTCGTTGTTATTATTTATTTTCGTGTTTTTTTTTATGTTCAAGTTATCTTGTAAAAATGGATTTATATGCAGAAGAGAATTTACTCTTGATATGCACCGGTGTGCGATACGCATGTGATCACTCGTATCACAACTTTCTTGTTCATTGTAGGCTACCCTTCTAGACTACCAATTTAGGCTGTATGCGGCTCAGCCTGTACATATTAACCCTTTGAACGTTAGGAATGTCTAGCAGCTAATTTCTGCTTACAGTTTCAACCCTGACTCACACATGAAGGCCACGAGAATAACACAAATAACAACTTACTTAAGAATCTATTCATTTTTCAACAAACTCTCCTCGCCAGTGCCAGAGGAAATGAGTCGATAACAGTATGGAGAATATGCATACCGATGTTACGGTGTAATTACGAGGGGATTTCNCATGTGAAAGCAGTCCTTGTAAGAACGATGCTGTCTGTGTTCCTGAATATCAAGAAACCTCCTATCACTGTCACTGTAAGCCTGGAACCTGTGGAACTCACTGCGAACGAGGAGGTATAATTTTTTTGTTTTTTGTTTTTTTTTTGTTTTTTTTCGAAGAGGTGAAAGGGACATCCCTCAAATCAGGCCTCGTACTATCATCTTTATATCTAATTCAATAATATACCTATAGCGTACAAGCTAAGATGTTTTTAACTTTCCCCATCCAGAAGAAAAAGCTCATTTTTTATCATCGCTAGTTGAGACTTATTTCAAAGTTTTGCGTGATTTATTTAAAAGAAAGTGTTCCCAATATTTTTTCATTATTAAAGTTAAAATTAGAGAAAGGCTTGGCTTTGTCGGACTGTTTCATTGTTCGTTTCAAAGACACTAAAAACTTTGATGAGGTCAGATTACGGAATCTCTCATCTGGATCTTACACCATCGCTTTTACTGACCGAGAAGAATCTTTGGCTTGTGGCCGATATGACTTGCGCTCTGATTGGCTATAAGCGAGAGCAGAGCAAAGCCCAGGGGCCCATTAGGGCGGATTATGCGAATTAGGAAGAGCACAAAAATGCCACACCAATACCGCGGTGGCTCCCTTTCCCTTTTTATGAAAATTCGAGCGCATGGAGGCCGATTAAGAGCCAGAGAGAGAAAATTCAATTACGAGCATTAAAAATTTTTGAGGAACAGCGAAGGTACAATTTGAAATTACCTAGGAGATTGTTCTTGAAGGACGAGATAATCAAACAAGAGTACATTCAACTTCGCATCAGATATAGGAAACCGTCAAAACACGCACTAGAGAGTTATCAGTGACATGATAACACTGCCACAGAATTTCTCCAAATATCAGTAACATCAGATGAAAACAGTCGAGCAGTTTCTGTTCGCAACAGTATTTTTGATTGATGAAGCTTTAGATGCTCAAAAGACTTGTAAATTTTATCCATAAGTCTCTAAGAAGGAGTAAAAAGCCAAGACGAATACTGAAATATACTGAACAGTATATTCTGTAAGTTGTATTTACTCTTAGCGAGAGGCTGTAAGCGTTTGGGCGATTTTTAAGCACTTTTTTCTTTTTTTGAAGTTGCCGGAAAGATATCAAGGTGATTTCTTACTGTAAAACACTCGATTGTTAGATGTGTTTACTTTAAAAAAAAAAAGAACTTGCAGTAGCATCAACGATTGCATTCCAAAGACAAGAAGTA